ATACCGATCAAATCATGGAATACATTGAGTTAGACCGGCATATGGCATCTCGTGACATCGCCCAGGAGATGGGAGTTAGTCACCAAACCATTTTGAACCATCTGCAGAAGGCTGGATACAAAAAAAGTTTGATGTTTGGGTGCCGCCTAATTTGACGCAAAAAAACCTTCTGGGCCGAATCAACGCCTGCGATATGCTGCTGAAACGGAACGAAGTCGTCCCATTCTTGAAGCGGATGGTGACTGGCGACGAAAAATGGATCACATACGACAATATCAAGCGAAAACGGTCGTGGTCGAAGGCCGGTGAATCGTCCCAAACAGTGGCCAAGCCGGGATTGACGGCCAGGAAGGTTTTGCTGTGTGTTTGGTGGGAATCATCCACTATGAGCTGCTCCCATATGGCCAGACGCTTAATTCTACCATCTACTGCGAACAACTGGACTGCTTGAAGCAGGCGATCGACCAGAAGCGTCCAGAATTGGCCAACAGGAAGAGTGTAGTGTTCCACCAGGACAACGCCAGACCACACACTTCGTTGATGACTCGTCAGAAGCTACGGGAGCTCGGATGGGAGGTTTTATCGCATCCTCCATATAGCCCGGACGTAGCGCCAAGTGATTACCACCTGTTCCTGTCCATGGCGAATGTCCTTGGTGGTGTGAAGTTGAACTCAAAAGAGGCTTGTGAAAAGTGGCTGTCCGAATTCTTCAAAAATAAGGAGGGGGGCTTCTACGAGGAAGGTATTATGAAGTTGCCGTCTAGATGGAAACAGATCATCGAACAAAACGGCGCATATTTTAACTAAATCCGATCACTGTAACACTTTTAATAAATATAAGGGGAGTTATTACAGATGCCCTAAACTCTGGTGGGCATTATGCAGAATGTCGAATCGTCTATCTGTTCCACCAGCTCCATTCCCCTACGATCGTTTGACAGACAGGAATGCCAAAGATCGTATTGCGCGTTAATGCCGTCTAGTACCAAACGGTGCCCACCATGGAGCAGCGCACCTATGTTTGGGTGATATCCTGTTGGGCAACTTGCGACTGAAGTAGCTTAAGGAATTTTACTTAATATATTACTGTTAGAACTATTAGTATTAAGTACATATTGGTTAACATTAAATACCATATTGTAAATTAGAATAAGCACACGACAACACGGTAATGAACTTGAAATATTAAAGGCAGTCGAATAAAAGCAACACATGGTGTCAGATGTGAAAATGGTCGATGAAAAAACCGAAGTAACTAATCAAAGTCAGACCATGGCTTTTGCGGCTACTATTAAGCCAATCGATCTTAAAGCTACAAATTTAGCAATGGATTAGAAAAATTGGAAGTCCCAATTCAAGATACATTTGCGTGCATTTAATCTAAAGAAACAGTCAGATTCTAGAAAAGTGGCTTTACTTCTTCAACACATATGGCCAGCGTCGCTAAAAATTTTTAATTTGTTCAACGAAGATGTAGACAATATTAAATATGATATTGCTCCTCAGATTAGACGAATATTTCGTGCCTAAAGTAAATATAGCGATGGAGTGACATACATTTTTCATGCGTCGGCAAAACGAAAATGATTTAATCACCGAATATGCTGCAGCCTTGCAAAATTTAATCACAACACGTGAATTTGGTGGCATACAAGAAGAATTGGTAAGAGATGTATTCATAAGCGGCTTGACACAAAATTGGTCACGGATAAGAGAAAAGCTATTAAGAGGAGTTGGTATTCGACTTCAAAAAGCTTTAGACATCACAAAGAGTTTTGAAGCTGCAAAATAAAGTTCACACGTTATCAATCAGGCAAATGGGATAGAGGTTAGTTCGGTCGCAGCGCTGAGACATCAATGGGAAACGGCTTTCTGTCAACAACCGTTACAGCAAAGGCGCAAAGAAATAACACCAGGAATAACCACAGACACGACATGCAAAAAGTGTGGGCAGCAGCATAGATATAAATGCCCGACAGCAGGGGCCACATGTCACATTTGCGGGGAGGGGAATCATTTCGCTAAGATGGGTACAACGAAACAGCGCAAATCTAACAACAACAACATGTACGTAAAAGCGGTAGAAGCCGACGATTTAGAAGATTTTGAGAGCGGGGATTTCTTTTGTTGTTCAGCCAGAAAGGCAAAGCACTGAACGAGAATGGAAAATTACTGTAAAAATCAATAATCAGGAGTCATCTGTCAGGTGGACACAGGGGCGCAGGTAAACATTTTGTCTATACACACATTTAAGTTATTGAAATGTATTAAGTTTAAGGACAATATTAAAAGCAATGTATTTATTTGTATTTACAATGTATTTTACTTGGGGGAGTATTAGGCGACATTTTCAAAATAGTATCAAGTTGTGAAATTAGCATGAGATAAAAAACCTTATGAAATAATGTAGATTCCATGGTATAAACTAGGCTCTGACTTGTTTGAATGGAATACAATTTTTTTTTAATGGTAATTGACTATTATTCGAAGTATGTACGACGAGTAAATGTAATCGCGAAACTTAAACTAAATTTTGCCAGACAATCTCTGATTTAGTTCCAATGAATTTAAAAATTTCTGTTAAGATTGGAAATCCCTATCTCCCTAGATCGAATGGACTTTTTGAAAGAGCAATACAAATAGTAAAGAAAATGTTTAACAAGTGCCAGGAAGCTAACATGGATCCATATATATCCCTTTTACACTATAGGACAAAACCTAAAAATAACATGTCAAGTTCAGGCGAATTACTAATTTCCCGTAAGTTGCGTACCAAGATCCCAACAATTTAAACTAATTTTGAACACAGAGTGATTAACAAATCACACTATGATAAAATTGCTAAACAAAAAAAGCAAAAGTCAGTCGAAATATACAACAAAACAAAAAAAACTTTATAGCCTGTCGAAGTTGGTGAACAAGTAATGTATAAAAAAATCACCTTCATACATCAACATGTTCTTCAAGTATTGTCGTTCATAATACAAGACAGGGCTTTATACAGAAGAAATAGAGAACACATTTCTAAAAAAAAAATTTAAATACGTATACAATAGATAATAATACCGAAATATTGAACGTTCAAATGAAGAAAGAAATCAGGTAGAAGAAAAGGATAACAAGCCCACATCATCCAAATTAGAAAACAAACAAACTATTTGTCATGAAATAGAAAAGGATGAAGACAGAAATATAAAAAATTATGAACTTATAGAAAGAGGGAGTTACGTTACAAAATAAGGGAGAAAAGTAATACCTTGGGATTGGGATACCAAATTTCATAAAAAATCAGCCGAAATCCTCATTTAAATTCATGGAGATAGAATTGAACATCTCCAAAAAATCGATTTATCGCATTTTGACCGAACAATTGGGCTTACAAAAGGTGTGTGCACTGTTTGTTCCGCACAAATTGACTGACGACCAAAAATTGCTCAGAATTCGAAGGACATCATTAAAGAAGCTTCTTTTACAAGATTGTGACTGGTGACGAAACATGGTGTTTTCAATATGATCCCGAAACGAAACGCCAGAGTGCTGAATAAAAGGCGCTGGACGACTGATTTGCTTTTACAATTCCAAGGGTATTGTCCACAAAGAATTTGTTCCAACCGGCCAAAACGTTAATGCGGTATTCTACCTTGGAGTTTTGAAGCGTTTGGTGCGACGTATTCGACGTGTTCGGCCCGAATATCGCGAAGATGGAAGTTGGGATTTGTTACACGATAATGCGCCTTCCCATCGATCGACGCTTGTGGCCGATTATTTGACCAAAAATCACATTTTAACAATCAACCACTCCCCGTATTCGCCTGATATGGCACCGTGCGACTTCTACCTTTTCGGAAAAATGCATTTGCCGATGAAAGGAAAGCGTTATGCAGACGTGGAGCCCATTCAAAAGGCTTGCACCGGCATACTGGCGGCCATACCGGGCAACGAGCTAAAACACTCGCTCGACATGCTTTTGGACCGTGCAAAAAACTGTATTAAAGCAGGAGACTATTTTGAATAAAATTAATTGTTTTTGCCGATAAAACCATTTGTTCTGTCTTTTTTTTAAAGTCCTGTTTACTTTGGAACGCACCTTGTTAAAGCAACAAACTGGAAAGATGTACATATATATAATATTTCGAGTTCGACATCACCTGACCAGTTAGCTTTGTCCTGACATTTTAGGGTAGTATCCTGCGATCGATGTCTATAGTCGACAACATGATAATGTACTGTGTTGTAGAGGCTGGCCCTTCACCATTATCTCGCTCGCGATTCTTACGTATCACGTGAAAAAATTCAGAACTCAAAATATCTGAGCAGCTGTTTAACTTGGTTTCTTCAACCGCAACCTTTGAGAAGCCTTCATGGTTATCTCCTCGATCTTACTCAGGAGTCCATTCCAGTTAAATTTTATTAGTCGAGTTTATCGCGGGTGTCTAGGGGTAATCCTAGGAGTAAGGGAGTGGCGTGTAAGTGGTGGTTGTTGCAGTTGTAGAACCCGGAGAGGGGGTTGTCGCACTGTGGTGTTGTTTGGCGACGCCACTATAGGTTGTTGCGGGGGCAAACACATGGTGCGCAGGCCTGAATACGTCGGCAAATAACACCAATGGCTGATGTGAAGTTCCGAATTAAGAGTTGCCGAGTGCTTCTCGCAAGAAGATTGGAGCGGGTTGAGGGTTAAGGATTAATCAGATTGGGATTTAATCTGCCTAGTTTAGCTCCTTGAAACCGTAAGGTCCTTTGTCGGCCACTCGCGGCACAGTGCACTAATTAGGTCCAATTTGCACAGCTGTAGATGCTAGTGAGGCAATTGTATGTTAGCAACATGGGACCACATAAGGGGACCACACCCTATGAGTCTTAAGGCCCAAAGTTTGGATAGAACATTTTAGTTCAAGCCGTTTTTCTTTCCTCATCGCCTACAAACAATGGGTAGTGGCAACAAAAGTCTCCTCATATGAATCAGCTCTTACCTTACTAAAAGCAATAGAAAATAGACATAATTTCAGTAATTTAAGTGATTCCTTATATTTAGACAAAATTTTAGTAATTTAAGTGATTCCTTATATTTAAAACAGTAAACATTTATTTTGAGAAGCGTAGAGTTATGGGTACTAGTGCATGTGTACATTCATACCTCCTTGTGAAAAATTTTATTAATTTTTATGATTAAAGTCATTTCGAGAAGAAAATTTTATTATATAAAAATACAAAGATAATAAAAACTTTATTCTATAGCCTTTTCGCGTCTCATTTCCTCTTCTAAGTAAGCGTTTCTTATAGCCATATTCTCCTTGACCCAATGATGTTTCATAACCTCCACGAGTGTAATGCGTCCATTATTCGATTTTCGTAATAACTGCAATCATAAAATTTTATTTAGCTGAAACATGTAAACATCTTCACCAATTATGTGTATTGATGTTGGTGTTGAGTTTCTTTTATAGCTTTAACTACTTTTACCTCAATTTTTATTATGTACATACATATATACCTATGTACAAGTATATGTATAAGTATATAGAAGAGCACATGTTACCCGAATTTGATTTTTTGACAAGCAAAGTAAAATAACTGCTCATATTGTTCATTTGCATATTGCACGTTACAACAGACTATATTAGTTTTTTTTTACTGAACGGTTCTTTGTGTCACCTAAAACTAATCGAGATAAATATAGTTATATATATATTTCCATAAGGATGAGGAAACAAGTTGAAATCCAGTTGACTGTCTGTCCGTCCTTCCGTCTGTATGTGAATTTGATAACATGAGTCAAAATTATTTTAAGAAACTTTGTACACGTGTTCCATAGCAGGTTGTATCATTTCCACACCCAAAAAAGCCATTAAGTGAAAAGCTATGAAATGCCATAACTAAGCTTCAATTTAAGATATTTATATCAGACATACAAGTAATTGGGTACGGGGAACCGTCACCCCAACGTTATAATTTTACGTACGTATTTAGCACGCTGCGTTGATACTTCGGAAGACAGTATATTGTAAAAGTATTTTCTAATTTGTATGAGGTAACAGTTTATTGCTTTATATAATTATATCTTTCGAACGCGAAAATGGTTGTAGAACGCAAATAGAAATTACTTGTCAGATATGTAATTGGTTCATAACTTTCCTTTAAAACGGGACATTTATTGTTAAATGATCAACAGCAGTGGAACAACGTTTCGCTTAAGGGGTATAGCTGTTTAAAAGCAGCCTAGCAACCAAACTGGCTTAGGAAAAATTCTTTTAAACCTCCTTAGACGGTGTGAAATTGGTGAAATAGAACAGTAACCACGCCCGCTACCTTATAACGGTTATGGTACGAAAAAACTTTATAAGAACCGATATAAACTTGGACAATGGGCGTGGCACCACCCAACTTTAGGTAAAGCACTACATCTCAGAAAATACTCGACCAATTTCACCCAAAATCGAAATACCAGCACGCCTACTTCCCAATATATCACAAAATTATCGAGAACGAACCATACCGTTTCAAGGGTCCAGCGCGCATAGCAGTTGACCGGAATTCAGAGGAAATCTCGTTCTAATAACAGTTGTCGTTATTGTTGTTGTTATACCGATTATCTAGACCCTGTTACTGTCATCGAAATCACTAAACGGTAGGCTTAGGAAACGAGTTGTTTCGACAATTTTTATAAAGCTAACTGGGTCGGTTCCCAGAATTCACTGAGAGCACCTTCAACGCAGTACCAATTCCTATAGACGTATTCGTTGTCGAACGTCAAATCCGTGAGGTGATCGCTACCAAGTTTCGCAGCTGAAGCAGCAGTCTTAGCAAATCAGCACGACTACGGTCTATCCCTGTGATCCCCGCATAAGCGATCTCAATTTGGAGATTCGGCAACTGGTATATCAACATAGCAGACAAAATGTTTGAAGCACCTGAAGTCATGTAATCTCTCCACCAGAGTATGCAAACTTTGTACTACTGTCAAATCACTGACCTATCCGAGGGACACGACGATAACTGCGTCGAAATTCAATTCGATGGTCGTACGTCCTCAGACCCAAAGAAGGGCGCGAGCTATTTTAGCTCAAAATTCATGCTTCAAACTTCGGTGAATAAGGCAAAAATATGTATACCCGACAGTTACGTAAAATTCCAAAAGATTGCCCAGACGGTATAAATACTCTAATGTTAAAACACCTAGGCTCTCTTCACATACCTGATGTGTGGAAAATCGATAGGGTGGTCTCACCACTGAAACCTGGGAACTCTCTTTTCTCCAGTAATGAAAACATTTGAGGGCTTGCTACTTCCGACCTTCCCACACCATCTGAGCTTAGCCAATCACCAGCACGGTCTCTGTAAAGGGCACAGCATCATCACAGCACTTAGCGTTATAAACGCTCCGATAGCTCCTGGCCTCAACCAGAAACCCCCTGTGGGAGGACTGTCTTCGTAACGACGGACCTGTCAAAAACTTTTGGTCCATAGGGTAAGAAGTGTTAAGTGCATTGCGACTTAATGAATGTGTAATAGCTCGACTTTGAATTATCTTGCGGAAGTTGATCGCGTCCGAAATTTGGTCATTATATTGTTTTAATAAGTCGAAATGTTGGAGGAATGTTCTCCTGATGTTGTTGTTGTTATTGTAGCGGTTATCTAATCCTCGTTTGGGTGGTAACGTTCGGGTTGGTTGTTACCGAAGTCATCTAACGGTAGACCCAGGAAACGTAGAAAAGGTGGTTCGTTGGGCATACTAGGAGGTGGTTAGATTCATGCGGGACATATGTTTGGTATGTCGGGTCGATTCTAGATAAGTAGGAGTTAAACCACAGTATCCAGAACGAAGTTGCGCAAGGATCACCCTAGATTCTCGTGATAACTCGAGCTCTTCGTTTACAATGGGTGGGGGTTTGACTCCAAGTACGCCATTCCCTGAGAAGGAGTCAGTGTTAGGTGTTAATGGCGGTCAGTACGTTTCTGCAGTTAGTGGCGTCCGAAACCTGGTACTCTCTTGATATTCCTCGGAGGCGGCTTCACTTCAAGCAGACGACTGCAAGGATGGTTTGTGCGAAAACAGAAATTGCTTGGGGAGAAGCTAGCTATGTTCTTTAGCCGGCAGCGTACGGGTCTCGCTGTACAAGTGTTCGACGGGAGACATCAAGAGGTATCCCATGATAGTCCGGAGTGCAGTGTTCTAACACGTCTGAAGCTTCTTCGTCTGCGTTTAACTACATCCAAACGACGATATCGGTGCGGCGTAATTTATGACCGGCTGGCCAATTATCTTTTATGTTGCCAACAATGTCTTTTCCCCAGAGCTGCTGGCTAGCGACTTGAGGGTCGCTTGTATGAGAAGTGAAGGAATAAAGTCTGTCGAATGTTACATCTAAAATCTTAGGAATATTGACAGTCGCAATTTTAAAGCCCATCGACTGTAATGTTAAAATCCAGTCTGTACACCTTCGTTCAGTCCGTGAATTTGATCACTATGGATTTACTGGGAGAGAGTGTCAAGCTTCTTGCAGAGAAAAGCGAGAGAGGTCAAGTCCCACTCTTAATTTGAAGTTTTGACCTCGAAACAGTACGGATGATTGCTGACCGCTTAGGTAGTTTATAGTCCATCTATTCAGCCATGAAGGCAGCGTGGCGTCAAGTAGCGTTGTGTGATTGAATGTGCAGAAGGCTTTTGACAAGTCCAACGGGGAAAAGAGGAGGATAAAACTCCTTATTGTTGACGGGTTACTCAGGTTTCAGTATTGGGACCACTCTTCCGACTTTCCACACACAGCGACGGGTTAAGGACCTTAGTTAGGAAGCTTACTACTCGTTTAGCTTAGGTGTTTTAGCATAAACATGTTTATTCCATCTGGGCCAATGGATTTGGGTGATTAAGCCTTGTTGATGACACTCCGAACCTCCTCACCGGTGAAAATAAATGACGCGCAGTGTTTTGGCATTTTGCGAAGCCGGCTGGAAACAAATCGTTTGACCTTGTCTGTCGAAGGGTGCTGTGGGAATTGCCCGCTAAAATAGCTCCCGCACTTCTTCCGGTCCGAGGAGGCATGGTCATCGAATCGGATTTGACAAGATCTTGACAGTAGTTCAAAGCTTACTCACACCGGTGGAGAGGTTCCAAGACTACAGGTGCTCTAGCCATTTTGTCCGCTTATGCTGATTACCCATTTGCCGAATCTTCAAATTGAAATCTCTTATGCGGGAATCGCAGGGATGGGCAAGGTGTCTCCAGGCTGTTTCTGCTCGGGTGTTTTCGCAGAAGCAGTAATCTGCTTGAAGCAGAGCCGCCTTCTGTAAACATCGGGAGATTCCCATGACAGCCGGTTCTACGTTACCGGAATTGACCCGATTTCAGCGCTCTGGTTCCATTTGAATCGATGAGTTTTAGGTTAAAATTGTATTCGCTGGAGCTACTCCTAGCAGCAGGGTCCCCATTCTCCTGACCCGTGTTGACATTGAGTCCAACCCAGGCCCTGAGAAATTTTTCTACTGCGTTTGTGCCAAGAGACTCCATCCAAACTCCACCTTGCTTAGGTGTAACACGTGCAATGAATGGAACCATCTTAAGATCTTTTCAGGACTTAAGACCCTCAGTGAGTGGACCACGAGGTATGTAGCCCCATGCTGCCAATGAATTATTGCCAGACCAGCCTCAATCTTGTTGTTGTTGTTGTTGTAGCGGCAGAATTCTGCCGAGCTGACAGTCCTTGGCCGGAATAAACCCGGGTCCGTTCCGGTAACGTAGACCCGACTGTCGTGGGAACGGACTACTGGTTCCTCACACAGTCTGCTCCGTGTGTCAGACCACCATACGACGGAACGTCACATCAGTCAAGGGCAATTCTTGTACTGGCTGGTGTCACTTCCCTACGTGTTGCGCCTTGGGCACTGCGCGTCAGTGTATTGTATCGTGAGCCTCATGCCGCAGGAGTCTACCTCCCCCACAGGGGAGTCGCCAAACTGTGTGTAAGTGTTAGTGTGAGTAAGATTTGGACTACTGTCAAGGCCTTGTCAAAGCCGAAGAGACAGAACGACCAGGTCGGATCCGAAGAAGTGCACGAGCTATTTTAGCCGGCAATTCGCATTGCACACTTCGACAAGCCAGACCAAAGGATGTGTTACCTGACGGCTGCGCGAAATGCCAAAAGACCGCACGCCACTTACTTTCACCGATGGAAAGGTTCGGTGTCATTATTAAGGCAAAATCATCCAAATCCATTGACCCTGATGGAATTAACATGCTGATACTAAAGCATCTAGGCTCGACGGGGGTAAGTTTTCTAACTAAGGTCCTCAACCTGTCGCTCACCACTCTTCAAATACCCGATATGTGGAAAGTCGGAAGAATTTTTCCACTACTGAAACCTGAGAAACCCTTCAGCAAAGGGGAGCCTTATCGTCCGATAACTCTCCTTTCCCCAATATTGGGGTACTTTCCGTCATAAATCCCCAGGTAGTTGCTTGAAAACATTGAACAATCCACTCTCCCTCCAGGGTTAAAGAGTTGGACTATGAACGACTAGAGCGGTTGGCATTCATCCGTACTGTTCCGAGGTCAAAAATCTAAACTAAGAAGAATTAAATAGGGGGTTTCGCAGGGTGGAGTCCTCTCCCCGTTACTGTTTAATTTCTACATATCGAGACTCCCCAACCACGATAGGGAATTTCCATCACCTCGTACGCTGATCATTGCACGTCGGGCAATGAAATCCATGGAATGTGCTCAAAAGTAAAGGACTATCTCTCCAATCTTTCTCGCTTCTTTTCTGCAAGGAACCTAACACTCTCCCGCTCATAATCCATAGCGAATATACAGTCGATGACATTGTAATTCCAACGGTCAATAACCCTAAGATTTTAGGTGAAACATCTAATAGCCATTGCTCCTTCGCTTCTCACACGACCGAGATAACTGCCAAAGTACACAGCCGCAACAAAATCCTCAATTTACTTGCCAGCAGTTAATGGAGAAAATACAAAGAAACATTGTTGGTAACATACAAGACCATCGGCCGGCCGGTCTTAAATTACGCTCCACCGATATGGTCGCTTGGATGTACTGCAACGCAGACGAAGAAACTTCAGACATGTCTGAACACTGCACGGACTATCACGGCATACCTCTTCGGTTAAGCAACACAATGAACTCCTCTCCAAGCAATTTTCGTAAAAACCACCCTTGCAGTTGTCTCCTTGAAGCGCAACCACATTCTAGGAACATCAAGAGGTCTTTCCTTGACCAGACGAAGAGCTTGAGTTACCACGAGAATTTAGAGTGACCCTTGACTGGATACCAAATTTATGTCCAGCATGCAACGAGTCTTCCGCACTAACCCGTCGAAACAGCACGTTTCCTGAGCCTGCCGTTAGGGGCCTTCGATGACAATCAATCTGAAGCAGGGATTAGATAACCGCTACAACTAAAATGAAGAAATAGCTGTACGTGATGGAAATTTTTGATTAAATACACCCGCACATCAGTCGCAAATTTTTCCTTCAGATTTGTTGAGTAGTGTTATCTATCTACCCATGCGTATAATATAAGGCTTTACACAATGATAAAATGAGATTATGTTCTTTTACAATAGCTTTTTATAACAAAACAATGGATAACCAACTTATGTATACAATAGAAACAGTGTTTATATTTAATTATAATTTCTTACCTTAGATATTAGATCTTTTGCTCCAGGACTCATATGCGAAGGATAATAAACTTCCAAACGTCTAATTTTTTCGTAAGTTTTTTCATTATCGTTCGACTCAAAAGGCGCACAGCCTACTAAAAACTCATAACATAATATTCCTAAACACCAATGATCAACAGAATGATCATATATGTGACCATCTACCATTTCTGGAGGTAAATAATCCAAGGTGCCGCATAATGTTTTACGCCTGTTAATAAGATATAAATACGACCTTAGCTATAATAAAATTGCTGATGAAAACTTACTTATTGGATATAGTGTGTGCCGACCAACCAAAATCGGCTAGTTTGACATCGTCTGATGATGTTAACAAAATATTTTCTGGTTTCAAGTCACGATGTATAACATTATTTAAATGACAATACTCAAGCGCATCGGCTACCTGGTAAGTGTATTTAGCTGCTCGTGGCTCTTCAAAACGACGCTGTGGCGAATTGCGTAGATGTTTATACAATTCACCTTCAGAAGCGATTTCAAGAGCAAGATATATTCGGCTGTCATCATGAAACCAAGTCAGTAATCTCAGTATATTTGGGTGTCTATTGGAACATATTAATTAAATACAAATAAAATAACAATAATGTATATGCTTACTTGAGTCGTGTTTGTATTTCAATTTCACGAAGAACTTGTCGTTGAACATTTCCCTTTTCTAGCTCAGCTTTAAACATTACCTTCATAGCTACTATAAAGTTTGATGTTCGTTCTCGAGCTAAATATACGCGACCAAACTTTCCACGCCCTAAGGGAGCACCCATTTCAAAGTCTCGTGTACTCCATTGATAACTGTATTACATTTATTAATAATAATAGGGTAACCAGACAAGAATTAGTTCACTTACGGCTGTCCATATGCAGAATGTTGCATCATTTTTAGCGACATTGACTGAATGTGTTGTTGGTACTCTTCTGGTACATTTTTTATCAATTTTACCAACTCGGTGCGATTTGGTGCTTTCTTTTGGAATTTGTGCATTTCAAAATACATACGGTTATGAGAACACTTTGTGATATAGAATGCTCAATGCAAGGCAATTATCTTCAAATATTTCAAATGAATGCAATCCTCAACATGCATTAGGAGTAATGCCAAGTTTTAGATAAAGAATACTGCCATATTTAATTAATCTGAGCTCACATTAGGCAAATCGTGTACATCCATGATTACACTATAAGTCTGTTTCTTAACTGCTAACTATCACTAGTTATAAAAATGTATGCTGGAAAAGTGTTCTTTACGCCGCATCTCCACAGACAATGTACATTACTAACCTTGTGTCAAATACATTGCCATTGAGGTTGGCAATATTCTTGTGTGCGTTTTCGAGCTGATATAGTGCATATTTGAGTTCTTGAACCATATAAAAAGGTTGACAAAATTGTGTGGAGGATGAAAAAAGTAGAAATCTACTTTTTCTACGGATGTATAATATGGAAAAATAAGATTTTATGTTTTAAGATTTAAATAATTGTTGCATAAAGTTTATTTTCCAATTCAATAGTTAAATATGAGCAATGATACTTACATATGCTAACAGTTATCATTAAAATATTGTAACGGATTTCTAGATAAATCGTCTACCTGTAACTCACTCTTGAGTTCCATCACTGGATTGTTAAATAAAAGTCCCAATTTAATGGCTACACACTTATCTTTATTTCTAATTCCAACAACTTAACACTTATTGCCCGTTATTCGAGCTTACAACTTCTTGCTTATGTCTCAATTGTTCTTATCACGACAACACTCTAACTAGAACTGTGTTTGCTGCACAATCCGGCAGCCCTTATATGCTTCTGGCAGTTTATCGTTGATTCGATTTTGTTCTATCATCAGTGTTCGTCACACTGCCCTCCACCTAAGTCTGATCGTCCCGATTAGACATATTTGCGATACCAAACACAAAGCTTTTATGTCTCCCATCTCGTCTTCTAGGCTGGTGCTGACATCGTAAGCCGTCCTTCTCTTCTTGGAGTTAATTCCATCCGTTTTTCGAATACTCAGTTTCTGGTACATCCCTTGACTTAAAGCTGACTCGAGATTCCATTCTTGATCTAAACGTAACTCGATTGGAACACCGAATCTCGTTACCCACTTGTTGATTAATGCTTCCGCCTCTGGTTCAGTCTCTCAGTTAGGAATTGTGTATATTTGTGGCCATTCGTTGAAATGGTCCTTGACTACCAAAACATGACTCTTTCCTCATTTATTGGTAGGGAATGGACCATCTTCATACATTTTTTTTTCTCAACTGGCGCACGCGAATTGTGCTGTTTCATCTGCCCATGACTCCTGGACCTTGATCCTTTAGCTACAATGTTCTCAGCATATTTCGCAATCCTTTATATAGCTGATTGACAACCATTCCAATTAAACCTTTGCTTCAAATTCTCCAAGGATTTCATGTCTCTCAAGTGCCCTCCTCTTGGACATTTGTACTGCACGTTAAGAACATCAGGAATTTCAACCCTTAAAAACAACCATAAGTACTCGGAAGGTTTGCCCATTTTCACTTTTCCATACTCGATGCAAGCAGGCATACACTAACTTTAAACTGCTCCGTTCTGCCCAATATGATTTTGTGACTGGCCTTCCTGTAGTTATTTCTCTAATCGTTGTACATTGGTTCAACTCCACTTCATGTAATGCACCTTCCAATTCTGGATCTTCTTGCAAAGAGTCATCCGTTTCAGGTTCAATTTTATGCTGATCTTCCACCTGTGATGGTATACACGCTTCCTGCTCTTCCAACTGTAAGGAACTTGTGCTGGTATCCAAGCTTCTTGCTCTTTTAAATGTGAGGAACCTTTTACTGGTTCACACGCTTTCTCCTTTTCCAACTTTGAGAACACCTGCCCTGACATACGCAGCTCCAGCTCTTTCGACTGTGAGGACCCTTGTACTGGTACACACGCTTCCTCTTCTTCCGACGTGAGGACACCTGCGCTGGCATGCGCCCGTTCAGTTCTTCCGACTGCGAACACACTTGTGCTGGTATACAAGCTTCTTGCTCTTCATCCTGTGAAGATCCTGGTTCCCATGCTTCCTCCTCTTCCAACTGTGAGGATACCTGCGCTGACATATGCACGTCGAGCTCTTTCGGTGCTGACAACTGTGCTGAAAAAATCTCAAAGAAGGATTCCAACGCAGTATAAATAACCTCTACTGAACATTCTGGACGTTTTTGCAAAGAGTCATCCGTTTTAAGTTTAATTTTATCCTGCTCTTCCACCTGTGAGGACACCTGTGCCGGTATACACGCTTCTTGCTCTTCCAACAGTAAGGACGCTTGTACTGGTATACAAGCTTCTTGCTCTTCTGACTGTGAGGACCCATTTACTGGTTCACATGCTTCCTCCTCTTCCAACTGCGAGGACACCTGCGCTGACATACGCACCTCCAGCTCTTTCGACTGTGAGGACCCTTGTACTGGTACACACGCTTCCTTCTCTTCCGACTGCGAGGACACTTGGGCTGGTATACAAGCTTCTTGCTCTGCATACTGTGAAGACCCTGGTTCACACGCTTCCTCCACTTCCAACTGTGAGGATACCTGCGCTGACATATGCACGTCCAGCTCTTTCAATGCTGACAACTGTGCTGAAAAATCCTCAAAGAACGATTCCAACGCAGCACAAATAACCTCTACTGAATATTGAGTCACTTCCTTCTCTTGTTTCTTTGTTGTCTCTTCCTCTAATTCCGATTAAAAGACATATTCCTCAAAATTAATGTTCTTTACTTCCATGGCTCTTCTTAACCGCGACTGTAGTTTGGACTTTACTCTTTTTGTTGCCAAGCCACGTTTTTGCAGCTCCTTTTTGAGTTGTGGAATCTTCAGAGTTAAACTTGGCCATTTTCGAACTATTCTCTCTTTGGGAATTTATTTGACAATCCCACTTCTGACACCAATTGTAACGGATTTCTCGATAATTCGTCTACCTGTAACTCACTCTTGAGTTCGATCACTGGACTGTTAAATAAAAGTCCCAATTTAATGGCTACACACTTATCTTTATTTCTAATTTCAACAACTTAACACTTATTGCTCGTTATTCGAGCTTACAACTTCTTGCTTATGTCTCAATTGTTCATTTCACGACAACACTCTAATTAGAACTGTATTTGCTGCACAATCCGGTAGCACTTATATAGTAAATCTGTAACAAAACATTGCTTCTAGAACATTCTGGCAACTACGAATTCGCTAACTAGTTGCTTCTGGCAGTTTATCGTTGATTCGATTTTGTTCTATCATATTTGGTTAAAATTAATGTGTTGATTACATATAACTTTGCTAAGAATAAATGTATTTAGACATCAATTGCGAAACAATAGCAATATGTAGTCTATTGCTAGCAATTCAGATTTTTAGCTCCTCGAGAGCCCCTATATAGAGCTGCAAAACAATCGATGGGACTGTTGTTGTTGTAACCGTTATCTAGTCCCCGCTTGGAAGATAAGTGATAGTTTGGTTGTCGTCGAGGTCATCGAACGGGAGGCCCTAGACACCGGCTGTTTCGACGGGGTCGGACCATAGGGAAAAGGGTGTTAGATGAGTTGGGTTTGTTGGGCATGCAAAGAGGTGGTTAGTACTAATTGCACGCAGGACAGATGTTTGGAATTTCAGGGTCTATTCTGGATAAGTAGGAGTTTAACCTGCTACAATATCCAGAACGAAGTTACGCGAGGGTCCCTCTGGTTTCGCAAGGCAATAAACTCTACCATCTATATGGTGGTTTGACTCCTAGTACGCCATTCACTGGGAGTCGATGAAGGTGTAATGGCTCCACTTTGTAGCGGTCAGTGCTTGTCTGTAGTTCGTTGCGTCCGAAGTCGGTAGGCGTACTGTCTGATGTTGTCGACGTAATCAAGAAGACTCTTGATGTTCCTAGGAGGCGGTTCCGCTTCAAGCAGACGACTGCCGGTGATGATTCTGAAAACACAAATTTCTAGAAAACACGCAGAAACTGCGGAGAGGAGCTCATTATGTTCCTCAACCGGAAGCATGAGGACTCACTGTGCAGGTGTTCTATTGGGACATCAAGAGGCATCATGTGATAGTCCGGGATGCAATATTCTGACAAGTCTAACTTCTTCGTCTCGTTGACTACATCCAGGCGACATATTGGTGATGCATAGTTTAGGACCAGGCGGCCGATTGCCTTGTATTTCCAACAACGTTTTGTCTTTTCCCAGAGCTCCCGGCAAGCGATTTGAGAATTTGTGTGCGGCTTTGTACTTTGAAGTTATCGGGTCGTGTGAGGTGAAGAACGAACCGTCCAATGTTACGTCTAAAATTTTAGGGTTAATAACCGTCGAATTTTGTGCCTTCATCAGATGTTCGGGTCAGTCTGTATTCCTGTCAGTTTGTGAATAAAGTCGCTGTGGATTTAGTGATTAGAGTAAAGTGTCAGACTCCTTGCAGAAGAAGCGAAAGGTAAGATAGCTCTTTACTTTGAGCACATACCATCGATTCCATCCATTCATCGTTGTTATTTTTCTCACTTTCGATAGTTTATTTTATATATTATTTTATTTTATTAGTATAAAAATACATTACATTAGATTATTCATTCTTCTTATAAAATCAATACATTTTGTTATACTTATTCACAGTAGTTTCTTAATTAATATTTTTGATTCTCCTACATATCCCATCTTATCAGTTAAATATTTTGTGCATTTTGATTTTAGCTTTGTGGACCAACATAGAGTACTTAGTTCAAGTCGAGTCTCTGATGTTAAGTCATTTAAAGTTTAGCTTTTAATCGATGAATTTACTACAATGCAATATAGATCTCATTCCCTTTTGTAATTTTGGAGTTTCATCAGTTTAGTTGTAGTATGTATATGTAATAGTGGAGCAATATACAGAATGGGGTTTGATAATAACGTTATATATATATATATCTGTCATTATACCAATTTTTTGCGAATTCTTTTAAAATATGCTAAAATATTCAATCTTTCTACACTTTATTCAAAGTTATCATATAATTATAATTCCCTATCTATTACTTCAAGATATTTAAAATTTTAGTTTTCTATGGTTTTATTGTTTAGGGTCACTGTATACCGTCCCAGGCTTTCGGGATAAAATGTGTATGAGGCTCGGAGATTTTCCAGATCAAGAATATATATATATAGCCTGGAAACTTATATTTTCGAGATATTTACGTTTGGAGTTGAAAATTTCTACTATTTAAAGTACGTAATTTTTCGATTTAAAATGAAATATACAATATATAAGTCGAAATAATCACCCTAAACAGAAACCAAAATGAATATATAAACCCAGGTACCAGCCATCTATATTCATTAACAAATTCATGACAAAACAATCTTCTTCTATTTATTTCACAAAACAAAGATATAAATTAGTCAGTACAATTCATGAACACCATAATAATGG